CCCAGACCCCCATGGCTGTCCCCCCAACCCCAGGCACCATCACTTCAAAGAAAAAGAAAAAAAAATGAAAAGGGGGAAAAAGCCTATTCTTACCCTAGAAGCAGGGGCTGGGGGGTCTCCGGGTACTCCTGGCAGAGACCCCCAGGGCAGCACAGGGCAGTGGGGGGCACGAGGGCCCAAGCTGGGGCCACTGGGGCTGTCCCTCTGCCCCATGCTGTGCGGGTGGGGCTCCAGTGAGACAGACAGCAGCTACAACTGCTGGTATGTGCCAGGGTTGGTTTTTTTAAACTATGGGGATGCTGGGGTGCAGGGGGAGGGCAGGGCAGGGATCGGCACGGGGTTGGGCAGCTGAGGGGGTGGGGCCAGGCAGGAAAGTGATCAGGAAGGTCAGGGGGACAGGCAAGGGATAGGGCAGGGCAGGGTTTGGGGGGGCTGGGGGAGTGGACAGAGCCAGCGGGGGTCCCCCTCATGGTTCCCTCCCCACCTTCTCTAGCCCCTCCAACTCCTTATTCATGGCACAGGAGCCCTGGTGCTGAACATGCAGCCTGGCAGGCCGTGCATTTCAGCACCAAGGCAAGGGAGCCAACCATAGAGACATTCTGGCAGCTAGAGAGTCTCCATGGAGGACCCAGACTTTGCCCCGCTTTTTTAAGTTTTGGTTTTTTTAGACCCCTGGATATCCAGGGGTCTAATTTTTGCCCCACGCTGCAAACTTGCAGTGCAGGGAACATTTTTCATTCCCACACATGCCTCTTGCCCCATCTCAATGGGGTTTGGCAACCGTGGTGTACAGAACCAGGACAGCCTGGTTTTATGTGTTTTTGTAAAAATTTAGGAATAAACCACAAGGTGCTACTATATTTGTTGGACATGCATTGAGCCATTGGGTCCTCATTCAGAGAAAAATCTATTTGAAATGAAAAGAGAGATGTTCTTGAGAAAGAACTAAGGCTCCAAAAGAAATCAAAAAGGAATGTAAAAAGTGTCAGTCTCCAACCTTATTCTTAAGTACACTGCCACATTTTCTGGCTTTTTTTGTTTTTCAAATCAAATTTCCCTAATTTTTTAATGTTTTCCTGTTCCCCACTACTGTGTGAAAAGTTCACAAAAACAACAGAGGGAGCAGTCTGCTGACTGACTTGGCAAGGGGAAGAGAGAAG